AGGTTACCTCAAAGGTCCCCAGGGGCCCCATGATTTCTTCAACAGGACCTCCAGAGGCCTCCAAGAGGCCTCCAGAAGGGCCACCAAGTGCCTCCAACGAAAACCCTCGTAAGGCTTTCTTTCCACGAGACCGCATCACCAATCCGAGCGGCTTTTCGCCCACAACCCAGGTACGGTGGCGGATGGGCCGAACGCCAGCCATCATTCGATGATGTGGAAGCCCGGCCCGTGTATCACATTCCTCTTCATTTTCCTCCACCTCTCCTTCCTCCATTTCGTCCGTCTCCCAAACCCTCCCCCGCCCCTCTCCTCCTCCTCATCCTCCTCCTCCTCCCCCTCCTCCTCCTTATCCTCCCCCTCCTCCTCCGCTTCGCCCATTTCCTCCTCCTTCTCCTCCTGCCCCGCACCTCTTCGTCGTCCTCCTCCGCCGCAATTCCATGTCCTTCGTCCTCGCCCCCCCTCATGCTCTCTCCTCCGGGCCCTCCTTCCACGAACTCGGCGCGCGCAGTGCCATTGCCCAGGCGATCTCACACATGGTCACACGGACGGGTATCATTCGCACGACTTGCATGTCCGAGTTCCGTTGCTCTCCGCGCGCATCGCGTTTTTCCCCGCCACGGAGAACGCCGACTTCGGCAGCTCTCTCTTGCAAGTGCCCATGCACTGACACGCCTGCCAGCTGCGCGCTGAGAACCCGAGGTCCTTGCAACCACCACACACCACTGTGGCCCCTCTCTTACTCCGATGATTTGCCACTGCTCCTTCTTTAAATTTTTACCGTCCGAGAACGCCCCCCACACGCCGCGCGCGTCAGCGGCATCGCGTCCGCCTCGGCTCTCCGTTTGCGATTCACTGCCCCCGCATTTCACCGCCGCACCTTTTTCCCCCGCTCCTCCGCGCATTTCCGACAGAGCCTCCCCCCGCTGCATCGCGTGTCTTTTGTGCATCCGACATGTCCGCCCGCTCTTCGAACAGCGTCGGGCACGCCCTGCTCGAACATCGCACTGTTCCAACGCTCTCGTTCCACTTGGTGTTGCCGGTGCGCGATGTCTGGTTCGTTTTGACATGGTTGCATCTCGCGCAATACATGGTCCGTACGGTTTTTGATCCCTCCCCACCGTTCGCCCCCTCCCCGCCGCGACCGCCGCCATGCCACGTCGACTCCTCTCACTCTGCTCTCTTCGATCATCCCTTGCGCGTGTTGCGCCATTCTTCATCATTGTTCTTCACTTCCGCAGTGCAGCCTTTCCAAAAAGCAGGCCTCTCTACCCTCTGGAACTCGTACTTCGTGAACGCCTCCATCATGAGTTTCCGCCGGCACCGCTCGCACTGGTCTCGCGGCATTAACGTCGCCCCCCGCTCATCCCAATCCACGCTCTCCCCGCGCAGCACCTGCAACAGCTTCTGCGCGCCTGGCATCCCCCCTTCGCCGCACGGCTTCCTATCGAAAGGCCTGAAGATCCGCAAATTCAGGCTCCGCACACGCGCTACGGCGACGTAACAGGCCATCCCAGTTACGCCGCGTCCTCTCTCCAGATCCGCTATAACTGCGGCCATTGTCCGTCCTGGCGCGGCGCGCGCCGTCACTGCCGACGGTGGCGTAATCACGAACTGCGTCCGCTTCACGCCCAACACTGGGCGCTCCCGATAGTCATCCAGGAAACACAGGCGCCCCTTCGATGGAAATATTAGACTCAGCCCTGGCCCCGACCCTGGCAGGTGCTATTCCTTCGCAGGGAAATCCAACACAATTATCCTGGGCAAACGCGACGAGACCTCTACGCCTTCGTCTCCCACGACCTCGCCCTCGTGCAACACCCACCCATGTATCGTCGCTGCGCGCCCCCGTAGCAGCTGTTTCTTCGACCTGTCCAAGTAAGCTCCCGAGACCACGAACCTCACGAGGGCCGCCCACAAGCGCAATCCCCTCTGCAGAGCGGGACACCTGTAATGATCTGTGTTGGGATATGTGTTCGGGCACGGCGGTGATCTAAAGAAAAGGCCAGACGGAAGCCCAACACGATACTCCAAGAACACGCAGGAGATCCTCCTGACGGAATATGACTGTCCAGTGTCGGGGCACAAGACCCAGCGGCACATTTGACACCCGTCGCCGCCAGGGGTATCAAACCCGAACGGGCGCGGTTGGGAACCACATGGAATGACGGACCCGGAGCGCCAACGATGTAAGAGAGCACATGCTATTACACATGCGACAGAAACCGTCGTCATCCATCCTCTGGACCAGCCGCCCAACGCATCCCTCCTCCGCTGTCGTTATCCTCGCCCACAAGATTGTCCTTCCACTGATCGCCCTCCACCTTTTCCTCGTCCTCCTCCTCCTCATCAGCAGTCCTCCTCAACCCACTCACTCTTTGTTGGGAATCGCAAAATGGCACCGCTGGCTCTCCAAACCAGCATTCAACTGTTTAGCCCTCACGGCGTTCAAAACCGTCCACGAGGCCCCCACGGCCGCCCGAAGATGGCCAAAGAGGGTCCCAAGAGGCTCTCAAAACGGCCCAAAAGAACTCCAAGACGGCCCCAGAGGCGCCAGAGACGGCCCAACTGAGCTCGAAGACGGCCCTAAGAAGGGTCCAACCGAGGAACCACGAACCGAGAATTCCAACCTTCCTCCCACTGAGGCTCCCAGAAGCTCCCACACTGCTGCCAAAAAAGCCCAAGACACCCCCATGAAGCACCCAAAAGGCCCCAAGGAGCCCCCAAGAGGCCCAAAACAGGCCCCACAAGGCGTGCCACTCCCGGGGCCTGTGGCCCCCCACAGAGACGGCAACACAAGAAACAAAGAGTTGGCGGATGTGGCGTAAGCCTATAGAATCTGTACAAACAAGCACATAACATGTGTGTCGATTGAACCGCACAATTGCCCACTATGGATGTGCTTCGGCACACGCCCTCGTCGGGCAACGTCTCATGCTTCACTCATGCATTTCGCCCCTTAGCTGCGATGGTGTACACGGGAGTAGGGCAGCATACGTATGCCTGGCAAGCGGCACACTCGAGCACTCGTGCCACAAGTGGCAAACCAGAGGTCTCCACAGGGCCCAGAGAGGACGAACAACTGTAAGGAGGGCCGCGCTGCCGCCTCGACTGGACCTCCTCCCTCTCCCTCCTCCCCTCCTCCTCCTCCTCCTCCTCCTCCTCCTCCTCCTCCTCCTCCTCCTCCTCCTCCTCCTCGTCCTCGTCCTCCTCCTCCTCCTCCTCCTCCTCCTCCTCCTCCTCCTCCTCCTCCTGCTCTATTATCACCCCTCTCCTCGACTGGAGCTCCTGAGGGGGAACGGTAGAGGAGGATCACCCGCACGTTGCTTGGCGGGGTGAGCGATCCCGCCTCCATCGGCGACGAATGGAAGACTTGTGGTCGATGCTTCCTCCCCCAAGTCTTGAGCAGGGACCGACCGTCCCGGCATTCCTAGAAGCCTACCACGAAATAATCTTAGAACACAAAAATGTTCAGTGTTCTTAGAACATAAACCCGATATGTTAAAACAAGACAGCCCCAGCCAGAAATGTTCTAAGAGCATTTCGTGCAGACCACAAAAGGTTCTCAGAACATTATGTGGTAGGCCTATAGGCGAGCTGGGACGCTTCGCCACTGCTTGAAAGTCCCCGCCCAAGGTTGCCCCCTGTTTTCGGGTCATGCCTTGGCTTAAGTCGGGCCTGTCCCCCTACAAGGGGCTTCTCGACGAAACATTAAAAATACCCAGAAAAATGCCCTAAAAATCTTCAAAAATAGTCAGAAAATAGTCCCCTGACTATTTTTTGACTATTTTTGAATATTCCCCCTGTAGAGGGACAGGCCCGACTCAAGCCTTGGCTCCACTCTGGCCGTCCGAGGAAAGATCTGAGCACACCCCGGAACGCCACCGGACCACTGGCACGCCTGCCAGGACTGGCAAGCCGCCGAGAACTGGCGAAGAAGTCTGAACAAAAACTCGCGCCCTGGATGTCCGAAACGTTCGCCCCTGAGCGGCGGCGAGCGAGGGGGGGAAATGAGAAAGGGCGAGCCTCCTCAGAAGGCTGGAGAAGTCCTCCTCAGAAGGCTGGAGAAGTCCCTCCCAAGCCTTCTGAGAAGATGTGTCCCAGCATGCCCCGAAGACGCAGAAGACTTGCCAGAATTCCCGAGGGCTTCTGAGAAGTCCCGCCGCCTTCTCAGAAGGCCTCCTCTGAAGGAACCCAGGGATATCCAAATAAATACACACAAATCCCAAGATTCCCCATATCTTGCAATGCTTGCTGGAGTCTCGTCCTCACCCCCACTTCGCATATATATATAATATATATATAAATATATATATATATATATATATATATTCCCCCCCTGCTTCCCTGGGAGTCACCGACCGATGAATCGTGTCTGTGTGAATTCTCCCCTCCTGCCTCTCCTTCTCACTTCCCCCCTCGCTCGCCGCCGACCCAAGCCCACCCCCACCCCTGACGCTGCCCCTGACCTGGGGACACCAAAGGAACCGATACCGCTGCTCCCCGGACCTCTCCCGGGGTGCGTTCTGACCAGGATCTCGAGGCGAATCCAGCGGTGGCGACGAGGGCCGCCAAGGAGGCCCAAAACGGGAAAAGCGAGGGGAGGGTAGTGCGAGGCAGGGAGTTATCCATAACCACCGCCTGGAAACCGACGTCCTGGTGCCCCAGCGGGCGGTGGATGTGGATATATTTTGGCCCCCGGGGGTCCGAATAGGTCCATCTCCATTGCCGGCCGACATCCCCGACATTGATCCTCCAGGCGGTGGTCATGTATGAATTCCTGCCTCGGCGGTAGAGGTATGGGTACCTTTCTGCTCCTCCTCTGATGCCCCCCGCCAGCCCTCCGCCTTCTCCTCCTCCTCCTCCTCCTCCTCCTCCTCGTCCTCCTCCTCCTCCTCCTCCTCCTCCTCCTCCTCCTCCTCCTCCTCCTCCTCCTCCTCCCCCTCCTCCTCCTCCCCCTCCTCCTACTCCTCCTCCTCCTCCTCCTCCTCCTCCTCCGCCGCCTGCAGCCTCACCGCCGCACGCCGGTCGCGCTTGGCGGCCGCACGCGCACACGCGCCCCGGTGCACGGCCTCCGGGGGGGGGCGCGCGCCACGGGGGCGGCGCGGCCGCCGTGCGCCGCCCGTCGCAGTCCGTCGCTGGCCTTGCCTGCCCCGCTCGAGCTCGCTGGCGGGCTCGTGGGCGCCTTCGTCCCTCCCCCTCCTCCCTTCTCCCTCCCCTCCTCCTCCTCCCTCCTCCCTCCTCCCTCCTCCTCCTCCCTCCTCATCCTCCTCCTCCTCTTCCTCCTCCTCCTCCTCCTCCTCCTCCTCCTCCGATCGCTCGTCCTCGTCCGAAGGTGTCCTCCCTCCCGCCTGCGTCGTGAGTGGGGGGCTGTTTTCCTTTCGGAACCGCTGCTGTTTGAGATGCTGGCCCGATGCCGCCGGCATCACGAGCCATGGATCTTTCCGTTTGTAGGACCAGCCCTATTCTGGCCACAACGAGCCTCGACTCCGAATGGATGTCCCGACCTAGATCGAGGAAACGGCCGGAAAATCAGAGCCACTCCCGATCCCAGAGCGGTCCTTATCTCCGCGTTTTGACCCTACTCCTGCAGTGCTGTTGGCGGCGCGCAGAGGAGAGTAGGGCAGGGGGAGACTTCGTAGAGGGGGGCTGCTTCTTAGAAGGCGCCAGCCTTACCAGTACAGAGAGGGCACGCGCCTTCTGAGAAGCAGGGGTGTTTCTGAGAAGCCTTCCCCCATCTCCCTATCCCCCTCTGCGCGTGGCCGATGCTGTCGTGCTCGCCCTGCTCATCGGGGCGGTGTGGTGGCCCATCCTGCAAGGCGGGGCGGCAAACTGGCAGCCGCCCTGCCGTGCCAGACAGACACACCCACCAGACTGCCGTTTCACCCACCAAAAACATGACCACAGCTACTATTACCACTCGTCCTCCTCCTCCTCCTCCTCCTCCTCCTCCTCCTCCTCCTCCTCCTCCTCCTCCTCCTCCTCCTCCTCCTCCTCCTCCTCCTCCTCCTCCTCCTCCTCCTCCTCCTCCTCCTCCTCCTCCTCCTCCTCCTCCTCCTCCTCCTCCTCCTCCTCTCCTCCTCCTCCTCCTCCTCCTCCTCCTCCTCCTCCTCCTCCTCCTCCTCCTCCTCCTCCTCCTCCTCCTCCTCCTCCTCCTCCTCCTCCTCCTCCTCCTCCTCCTCCTCCTCTCCTCCACCTCCTCCTCCGCCTCCTCCTCCTCCTCCTCCTCCTCCTCCTCCTCCTCCCTCCTCCTCCTCCTCCTCCTCCTCCTCCTCCTCTCCTCTCCCTCCTCTTCCTCCTCCTCCTCCTCCTCCTCCTCCTCCTCCTCCTTCCTCCTCCTCCTCCTCCTCCTCCTCCTCCTCCTCCTCCTCCTCCTCCTCCTCCTCCTCCTCCTCCTCTCAGCCAAAACCTCCGCCTCCGACTCCGCCTCCGCCTCCGCCTCCGCCTCCACCTCCTCCTCCTCCTCCTCCTCCTACCCCCCGCCCTCCGTCCTCCGATCATCATCGTCATCGTTGCCAGTCTTTTCCTTGTGTTCCTCCTCTGCCCCCCCTTCAAGTCGCTTGGCTGCCGCCACAAGGGCGAAAAACGCACCCCTCCTGAGGAAGCCCCAGGGCAATCAGCGCAAGTCTCCAAGCAGCGGGCGGCGGATCGGCCAAGACAGGATTGGCGGTGGTGCAGAATGTGCACCCTCATACAGTAGGCGCATCTTTCGCAGGGGCACATCATTCGTCGAAAAGGATGCATCAGGAGGGAGGCTCATCATTCGCAGGGCTTCATCACTCGTAGGGGGTGCGTCTCACCGTAAGACGTGCAGGGGCACACCGTTCGTCGACCTCGACCTCTGCGTCTGCATGGTGGCCCCTGAGCTCGCCTGGCCAGCCGGGTCTGCCGCAGGGCCCTCGCTGCCGAGCCGACCAATGATTCCGTTCGATGGCCGGGCTCCCGACCTCTCGCGGGCGCTGGAGTCCAGACCCGTCCGCCGAGCCGCGCACCAGCTCTGGCGACAGGAGGAGGAGGAGGAGGAGGAGGAGGAGGAGGAGGAGGAGGAGGAGGAGGAGGAGGAGGAGGGGGAGGAGGAGGGGGAGGAGGGAGGAGGAGGGAGGGAGGAGGAGGAGGAGGAGGAGTTCTGGCGACAGGGAGAGCCCCCGAGGGCCAGAGGACGCGGGGGAGCCAGCCTCCCCCCCCCTCTGCCAGCTCGTCGCGCCACAGCTCGAGCCCCTGGCGGTCGCTCGAAGCGATGCCGAGACCCATCCCCGGGGACCGAACAGCTCCACGACGCCTCCCAAAGCTCCCGCCAGAACTGGCAACGGAGGCTCTACAAGTCGTGGCCCATCACCAACCCGCGAGGGGCGAGTCGAGAAGAGAATTCAACAAACCTGGGGAACGCAGTCCGTGGCTATGGGAGGACATTGGCGTCGCGCAACCTTAATGCGGCAGCACCCTTGCTGCGCCCTTGCTCCATTCCACCTTGCTGCTTCTCCCGCCGCCCTTTTCTGCCCCCGA